GGCTCATGCCTGTAATCTCAGCATTTTGAAAGGACGAGGTGGGCAGATCACCTGAGGTCAGGAGTTTAAGACCAGCCTGGTGAAACACCAGCTCTACAAAAAATACAAAAATTAGCTGGGCCGGGTGCAGTGGCTCATGCCTGTAATCCCAGCACTTTGGGAGGACAAGGTAAGTGGATCACCTGAGGTCGAAGAGTTCAAGACCAGCCTGACCAACATGGAGGAAACACAGTACCTACTAAAAATACAAAAAAAAATTAGCCAGGTGTGGTGACACATGCCTATACTCCCAGCTACACAGGAGGTTGAGGCAGAAGAATTGCTTAAACCTGGGAGGCAGAGGTTGCAGTGAGCCAAGATCACGCCACTGCATTCCAGCCTGGGCAACAAAAACAAAACACAATCTCAAAAATATATATATATATACACACACAAATACAAAACACTCCATACAATGTCAGTGGACTTTCAGTCTTTAGAGTCTACGGCCGGGCGCAGTGGCTCAAGCCTGTAATCCCAGCACTTTGGGAGACCGAGGCGGGTGGATCACAAGGTCAAGAGATCGAGACCATCCTGGTCAACATGGTGAAACCCCGTCTCTACTAAAAATACAAAAAATTAGCTGGGCATGGTGGTGCGCGCCTGTAATCCCAGCTACTCAGGAGGCTGAGGCAGGAGAATTGCCTGTACCCAGGAGGCGGAGGTTGCGGTGAGCCGAGATCGCACCATTGCACTCCAGCCTTGGTAATAAGAGCGAAACTCCGTCTCAAAAAAAAAAAAAAAAAAAAGTCTAAGGGCCTTAGGTTTCATACCCGTTTTAGATTATTTAATAATAATACACAAATCCACTAGATGATGTTAGAATTGTTAAAATTATTACAAAAGTGTTTTATTCTTTTGAGACAGAGTCTTGCTCTGTCGCCCAGGCTGGAGTGTAGTGGCACGATCTCAGCTCACTGCAACCTCCTCCTCCTGGGCTTAAGCGATCTTCCCACCTTAGCCTCCAAAGTAACTGGGATTACAGGCATGAGCCACCAGGCCCAGCTAATTTTTGTATTTTTAGTAGAGACAGGATTTCATCATGCTAGCCAGGCTCACCTCGAAGTCCTCGACTCAAGTTATCCACCCACTTCAGTCTCCCAAAGTGCTGGGATTACAGGCGTAGGCCACCCCGCCCAGCCATCAAGAAGTGTTTCACTCAAATTCCAAAAACAATCATTTTCCATTAATCAATGGGGAACCCAGCAATTGAAGTCCTGTGTATATTTAATGTCCACCTATTTTAAGTTTAAGCTATTCCTCAACTCCACTATCTTAGCACCAGACAATAATCCTCTGAGAAGTGGCTCAGAAAATACATCACTCCTTTAAAAGAACTTGATTCAGTCCGGGCGCAGTGGCTCAAGCCTGTAATCCCAGCATTTTGGGAGGCCGAGACGGGTGGATCGCGAGTTCAAGAGATCGAGACCATCCTGGTCAACATGGTGAAACCCCGTCTCTACTAAAAATACAAAAAAAAAAATTAGCTGGGCATGGTGGCACGTGCCTGTAATCCCAGCTTCTCGGGAGGCTGAGGCAGGAGAATTGCCTGAACCCAGGAGGCGGAGGTTGCGGTGAGCCGAGATTGTGCCATTGCACTCCAGCCTGGGTAACAAGAGCAAAACTCCGTCTCAAAAAAAAAAAAAAAAAAAAAAAAAAAAAGAACTTGATTCAAATTAAGGTTTTTAGGGCAGTAGTTTAGTCTCATGCTGATATTACAGAGCAGGATTTGGAGATTCTTGTTCTCACTTATAAACCTCTTAAGACTAAGGGATCAGCTTCATAACTCTGTAAGTCTTTAGCACTCAACACTAAACTTGTACTGGGTCTTGCTTGTTTTGTTTTGAGACAGGGTCTCTATCACCCAGGCTGGAGTACAGTGGTATGATTTGGGCTCAATGCAACCTCAACCTCCCAGGCTCAGGTGATCCTCCCACATCAACCTTCTGAGTAGCTGGGACTACAGGCACAAGCCATCATGCCTGCCTAATTTATTTTTTAATTAGATGAGGCGTATGTTGCCCAGGCTGCTCTCAAAATCCTGGGCTCAAGCAATCCTCCCCAACTTTGGCCTCCCAAAGTGCTAGGATTACAGGTGTGAGCCACCGCACTCAGCCAATGTACTGGGTCTTAATTTTTTTTTTTTTTTTTTGAGACTGGGTTTCACCATGCTGGCCAGACTGGTCTTAAACTCCTGACCTCAGATGATCCACCCACCTTGGCCTCCCAAAGTGCTGGGATTACAGGTGTGAGCCACTGCGCCCAGCCAGAGTCTTAATTATTAATAATGATGTTGCTCAATCAGCCTAAAGCAACAGTTCTCAAACTTCTTGGTCTCAGGATTCTTATACTTATTTAGAACCCCATAAAGCTTTTCTTAGGTTGGCTACATCTATTGATGTTTACAGCATTAAACAATGAAAACTGAGAAATGCTTTTAAATATTAATTGATTTCAAAATACCAACAACCCTGTTATATGTTAACACATATTTTTATGAAAAATATTTTTCGGCCGGGTGCGGTGGCTCAAGCCTGTAATCCCAGCACTTTGGGAGGCCGAGGCGGGTGGATCACGAGGTCAAAAGATCGAGACCATCCTGATGAACATGGTGAAACCCCGTCTCTACTAAAAAAAAAAAATACAAAAAATTAGCTGGGCATGGTGGCGCGTGCCTGTAATCCCAGCTACTCAGGAGGCTGAGGAAGGAGAATTGCCGGAACCCAGGAGGCGGAGGTTGCGGTGAGCCGGGATAGCGCCATTGCACTCCAGTCTGGGTAACAAGAGCGAAACTCCGTCTCAAAAAAAAAAAAAAGAAAGAAAAAAAGAAAAATACTTTTCAAAACAAAATTAAAGAGTGAAACTGTTAAACACATTTTTTTCCAATCTCCTTAATGACTGGCTTAATAAAAACAGCTGGATTTTCACATCTGCCTCCACATTTAATCTGTTTTGTTATTACAGGTCATGTTAGTTTCTAGAAATCTCCATTGAACACTTATGAAACAATTAAGAGTGAAAAAAAGACAAATAATGTCCCAGTATGAACATGAAATAATCTATTGATGTCCTAGGTCTTTTATTTCTTTGTCTCTCTTAAATGATCTGACTTCAAAATGGAGCAACAAATTCTACAATTTATTCTATAATTATTTATTTATGTTGCGCTTTCATCAGTCTACAATAAATTTCAAAATGCTTTCTAGACGCTTCTGAAAAGCAAAATAAAAGGCTGATGAAACTAAGCATTTATACCTATACTTTTTTCCCTAGTAACCAAGTAAACAACTACCTAGGGAAACACTTATAATGCCAACTTGGAAATTACTCTAGATTATTAGTAGGTAGATCCATCCAAAATTAATCTAGATTACGGTTAAGCCTTAAATATGTGAGTGTACATTTTGTATAAGAGTATAAATCTCCAAAAGCCTCATTTGCTCTCAGCAAATGGTACAAAACTGGGTTAAAAGCCAAGGGAATAGGTGTGTTAAATTTAAAAGTTCAAGTACACCGTGGAGTTGAATGGAAAATAGTTTTCTGAATAACTATCACTGAACAAGTGAAAGGTCCAAAAATGTTTAAAGTCAAAGTCGGCCGGAAGCGGGGCTCAGGCCTGTAGTCCCGAAACTTTGGGAGGCCAAGGCAGGCGGATCACGAGGTCAGGAGATGGAGACCAACCTGGCCAACATGGTGAAACTCCGTCTCTACTAAAAACACAAAAATTAGGTGAGTGTGGTGGCGCATGCCAGTAATCCCAGCCACTCAGGGGACGGAGGCTAGAGAAAGGCTTGAACCCAGGAGGCGGAAGATGCAGTGAGCCAAGATCGCAGGACTGCACTCCATCCAGCCTGGCGATAGGAGACTCCGTGTCAAAAAAAAAAAAAAAGTAAGCAAATAAATAAATAATAATAAAAAAAAGAGTCAAAGTCGTCTGAGCAAACAAAAGACCAGACAAAAACTTTATGAATTAAAATCATCATAAAGGTGGCTAATTAGAACAGGACGAGGAAGAAAAGCTTAAGAAAAATGGATCACTCCTGATGAAGTGCAAATCCCAAGTAAATTATTGATACTAACATTGAGCTGGAGCACTTTGCCTTACCTGGCAACTTTCTGCAAATATTCTGCAACTACTCTACATACACAAAGTTTTCCTATCATTTTCCTCAAAAATATCAGTCTTCTTCAGGTTAATGCCCAAGTGAGATGCTTTTTGTTGCTCTAGCAGTTTCGTTCTATTTTCTTTCTTGGTTATTCCGAATCGTCTCTTACAACTGGAGAGATAGGATGAACCAATCCCGAGTAAGAAATGGGAAAGTACAGAAAAGAGGCGACAGCTCTGCACCCCCGCACGTAACTCAGAGAAAAGCAGCGGCATCCTTGCCCTAGCTGCAACCCGAACGGAGGCAGGGCTCTCTGGATTCCCAACAATATCGGACATCTACTCCCACCTCGCCGCCCCACGCCCTCCCAGACGAAAAGGCAGAAAGTGGGGAGTCCAGCCGCTTCTCAGAGCCACGGAGCCTCCCAGTAAGGGATTCTCTTCCCGTTACATAACTGGGGCCTAGGGCCCTGCTTCTGCGATCAGTCCTCTGGAGAAAGAAGGGCGGGTTCTCCAGAGACCCTCTCAGGGAGGTGGAAGCGGGGCTCTGCACCTGATCGACCCGGGAGAGAGAAGTGGGACGACATGAGGGAGGCCGCGACCAGACGCGCTGGGGTACAGGGAGTGATGAGCGAGCCCAGAGAGGGACGGGCGGCTCCGGGAGCCCTGCGGCAGGCCCCGGCATCTCCGGCCCTAGTAGGCTCCCCTCCCTCGCCTGCCCAGTCCCCACCGGCCGCCCCCTCCCCCATTCTGCGCTCCCCTCCCCCGCGCCTCCATCCCCGACCCCAGCCTAGCGGCAGGCAGACCTACAGGGAAGGCCCTGGCTACCGCCGTCGGATGGCTCCCAGCCCGGTACCTGGTCAGACATGATGACGGTGGCTTCACCCGGGGGTCTCCGCACAGCAGCGGCCTCGGGTAGGCAGAACCTCGCTCCGGGGTTTACAAATCCGTCTCCCTTCCCACAGCACAACACCGCGGCTGCAGCAACTTCCGCTACGCCTGGCGTCACTTCCGCTACGCGCAGGGGGCAGGGAGAGAGAGGGAAGAGGGGAAAAACAAGGCGGGAAAACCGGTGGGGGAGCAACCAAAAGGAAGGAGGGGCCGTGGAGCTGTTTTACCGGTGGTCGCACGGGTGAACAGCAGTCTTGTCAGCTCCGTCAAGGACCCGGCCCTGCGCATCAGTACAAGGGCCATCCCCCAGGAGGAAAGGTCCTGGCCCCTTCTCAACGTTTGGAGCCACTCTCACAACCTAGATTCCTCCCTCCCCTACACATTGCGCGTCTCTGACCGCTGAGCCGAGATACTTCTTTTGTCTCCTCCCAGCCTTGCTCATTAGCCCCCAACCCCCAAATATGTTGATTTCCATGCCAGTGCTTCTAGCTTAGAGCCAACATTTCCGGTTAACCAGCAACCTTGCCAAACACATGGCCGTGATTTAAAACAAGAAAACAACGACCCCATTGGACACAATCTTGATGGCTACTGATGCTAAAGACCGCTGCTGAAAGTTCTAAACGGGGGGTGGGTAATTCCAACCTTTGAATTGGTTGCTTTGACTTAAGGTTAAAAAATGATTCTTTTTTTTTTTTTTTTTTGTGACTGAGTCTCACTCTCTTGCCAGACTGGAGGGCAGTGGCGCTATCTTGGCTCAATGCAACTTCCGCCTCCCGGGTTCAAGCGATCCTCCTGCCCCATCCTCCCGAGTAGCTGGGACTACAGGCACACACCACCACGCCCAGCAAATTTTTGTTATTTTTAGTAGAGATGGGGTTTCACTGTGTTGGCCAGGATGGTCTCAATCTCTTGACCTCATGATCCACCTGCCTCGGCCTCTCAAAGTGCTGGGATTACGCCGTGAGCCACCGTGCATGGCCAAGAAGTTCTTGAAGTTCTGGAGAATCGCTTGAACTCAAAAGAGGGAGGTTGCAGTGAGCCACCTTACTCCAGCCTGAGTGACAAGAGCAAGACTACGTCTCAAAAAAATAAAAAAGATTCTTCCTAGATTTATTCTGCAAAACACAATAGCCCTACTGGCATATGCATGGAAGATAAGAATAATAAACAAATGGAATTGAGAATCCTGAAATAAATCAGTAAATCCTCACATTTGCATCGACAAAAACACCAAGACAAACCAATGATGAAAGAACAGTTTTTTCAACAGTTGGTACGAGGACTACTGGACATCCATATGCAAAAGAATGACTTTGTTTTGTTTGTTGTTTGTGGTTTTCTATTTTGTTTTTGGTTTGTTGTGTTTTTTTTTGTCACCACCTTAAAAGAAAACACAAGGAGGCCGCAGGCCATGGCTCACACCTGTAATCTCAACACTTTGGGAGGCCAAGGTGGACAGATCTCTTGAGACCAGGAGTTCAAGACCAGCCTGGGCAACATGTTGAGACCTGGTCTCTACAAAAATACTAAAAATGCAAAATTTAGCCAGGTATGGTGATGCAGGCCTGTAATCCCAGTTACTCAAGAGGCTGAGGCAGGAGAATCGTTTGAACCCAGGAGGCAAAGGTTGCAATGAGCTGAGATTGCACTACTTTACTCCAGCTTGAACCTGAGTGACAGAGTGAGACTCCTTCTCAAAAAAAAAAAAAAAAAAAGTTCTATGAACAACAAAAAAAGGAGATACCACTTTATACACAGTATACACACTAGAAGGGCTGAGTTCAAAAAGACAGATACCGGCCGGGCGCGGTGGCTCAAGCCTGTAATCCCAGCACTTTGGGAAGCCGAGGCGGGTGGATCACAAGGTCAAGAGATCGAGACCATCCTGGTCAACATGGTGAAACCCCGTCTCTACTAAAAATACAAAAAAAAAAAAAAAATTTAGCTGGGCATAGTGGCGTGTGCCTGTAATCCCAGCTACTCAGGAGGCTGAGGCAGGAGAATTGCCTGAACCCAGGAGGCGGAGGTTGCGGTGAGCCGAGATCGCGCCATTGGACTCCAGCCTGGGTAACAAGAGCGAAACTCAGTCTCAAAAAAAAAAAAAAAAAAAAGACAGATACCAAAAAGTGTTGACAAGGCTATGGAGAAATTAGAATCCTTATACACTGCAAGTAGGAATATAAAATGCTTTAGGCTAGGCATGATGGCACTGGGCCTGTAGTCCCAGCTACTGAAAAGGCTGAGGCACAAGGATCACTTGAGGCCAGGAGATGGAACCTTCAGTGTGCCATGCTATGATCAAGCCTGTGAGTAGCGAATGCACTGTAGCCTGGGCAACATAGCAAGACCCTGTCTCAAAAACAAAACAAAACTGTTTTGAAAAACTCACTGTCAGCTTCCAAAACTGTAAAACATAAAGTCATCATAAGATCCAAAAATGTCACTCCTAGGTATATACCCAGATAACTGAAAAAATATATCCATTCCATACTCAGTGGCACGTGTCTGTAATCCCAGCACTTTGGGAGGCTGAGATAGGTGGATCACGAGGTCTGGAGATAGAAACCAGCCAGACCAACATGGTGAAACCCTGTTTCTACTAAAAATACAAAATTAGCTGGACGTGGTGGCACATGCCTGTACAACATAAGTGAACCTTGAAATTATTTGGCTAAGAGAAAGGAGCCAGTCACAAAGTTTGATTCCATTCACATGACATGTTCAGCAAGAATAAATATATAGCGACAGAAAGTAAATAAGTGAGCTATAGGGCTAAGGGCTTAGGGAGAAAATGGAGAGTGACTGCTGATGGGTACAGAGTTTTGGAAGTGATAAAAATGCTCTATAATTGATTGATGATGGTTGCACAGCTATGTGAATATACTAAAAAAACTAAAAATTATATCTTTTAAAGAGGTGAACTGTATATGCTAATTATCTCAGTAAAACGATTATATTAAAAAAATACGGCCGGGCGCGGTGGCTCAAGCCTGTAATCTCAGCACTTTGGGAGGCCGAGGCGGGTGGATCACGAGGTCAAGAGATCGAGACCATCCTGGTCAACATGGTGAAACCCTGTCTCTACTAAAAATACAAAAAAGTAGCTGGGCATGGTGGTGCGTGCCTGTAATCCCAGCTACTCAGGAGGCTGAGGCAGGAGAATTGCCTGAACCCAGGAGGCGGAGGTTGCGGTGAGCCGAGATCGCGCCATTGCACTCCAGCCTGGGTAACAAGAGCGAAACTCAGTCTCAAAAAAAAAAAAAAAAAAAAAAAAAATACAATGGGCCAGGTGTGGTGGCTCACGCCTGTAATCCACGCACTTTGGAGGCAAGGCAAGGCCGGGCACGGTGGCTCAAGCCTGTAATCCCAGCACTTTGGGAGGCCGAGGCGGGTGGATCACGAGTTCGAGAGATCCAGACCATCCTGGTCAACATGGTGAAACCCCGTCTCTACTAAAAATACAAAAATACTAGCTGGGTGTGGTGGCGCGTGCCTGTAATCCCAGCTACTCAGGAGGCTGAGGCAGGAGAATTGCCTGAGCCCAGGAGGCGGAGGTTGCGGTGAGCCGAGATCGCGCCATTGCACTCCAGCCTGGGTAACAAGGGTGAAACTCCGTCTCAAAAAAAAAAAAAAAAAAGGCCGGGCGCGGTGGCTCAAGCCTGTAATCCCAGCACTTTGGGAGGCCGAGGCGGGTGGATCACGAGGTCGAGAGATCGAGACCATCCTGGTCAACGTGGTGAAACCCCGTCTCTACTAAAAATACAAAAAACTAGCTGGGCGTGGTGGCGCGTGCCTGTAATCCCAGCTACTTAGGAAGCTGAGGCAGGAGAATTGCCTGAGCCCAGGAGGCGGAGGTTGCGGTGAGCCGAGATCGCGCCATTGCACTCCAGCCTGGGTAACAAGAGCTGAAACTCCGTCTCAAAAAAAAAAAAAAAAAAAAAAAAAAAAAAAGACCAGCCTGACCATCATGGTGAAACCCTGTTTTATATATGTATATATATGTATGTGTATATATATATATAAATGTATGTGTATATATGTATGTATATACATATATATATATAAATACAATGGCCTTGAAATAAGCTGCTAATAACAGATGAAGAATGGGGGATTATTGAGAGCCTGTAGAACACCGACATCCAAGCAAGTTGGTCAGGAAAAGCTTCCAAAATTAACAAATAAATAACGTCTAAATGGAAGGCCGGAGAGTAAGCTCAAATAACCTAGAGCAGTAGTTCTAAACTTTTTTTTTTTGAGACAGAGTCTCATTCTGTCGCCGGGTGCCAGGCTGGAGTGCAGTGGCACAATCTTGGCTCACTGCAACCTCCGCCTCCAAGGTACCAGGAGTTCTCCTGTCTCAGCCTCCAGAGTAGCTGGGACTGCAGGCGGGAGCCACCATGCCCAGCTAATTTTTGTATTTTAGTAGAGATGGAGTTTCACCATGTTGGCCAGGATAGTCTCAATCTCTTGACCTCGTGATTCACCCGCCTTGGCCTCCCAAAGTGCTGGGATTACAGGCGTGAGCCACCATGCCCGGAAACTTTTTTTTTTTTTTTTTTTTGAGACGGAGTTTCGCTCTTGTTACCCAGGCTGGAGTGCAATGGTGTGATCTCGGCTGACCGCAACCTCCGCCTCCTCGGTTCAGGCAATTCTCCTGCCTCAGCCTCCCGAGTAGCTGGGATTACAGGCACGCGCCACCATGCCCAGCTAATTTTTTGTATTTTTAGTAGAGACGGGGTTTCACCATGTTGACCAGGATGGTCTCGATCTCTTGACCTCGTGATCCACCCGCCTCGGCCTCCCAAAGTGCTGGGATTACAGGCTTGAGCCACCGCGCCCGGCCACTTTTTTTTTTTTTTAAGATGGGGTTTCACCATGATGGCCAGGCTGGTCTTGAACTCCTGACCTCAAGTAATCCACCCACCTTAGCCTCCCAAAGTGCTAGGATTACAGGCGTGAGCCACTGCACCCGGCAACTTTTTTTTTTTTTTTTTTTTTTAAGACGATGTTTTGCTCTTGTTGCCCAGGCTGGAATGCAATGGCAGATCTCAGCTCACTGTAAACTCCACCTCCCCGGTTCAAGCAATTCTCCTGCCTCAGCCTCCTTAGTAGCTG